TTTTTTATAGTGTAATATCCTCTATTGTGTGTATCATGAGGATGCTGTTATAGTTATGAGGAGCTCCTTTTATACCACTTGTTTTCTCTGTTATGGGGATCTATTCATTTTTCATCATGAGGAAGTTAATATAGTTATTAAATCATTAATGTGACTTAAAAGATAAATTGTTGTGTTTATACTTTTGTTCCTTGATTAACTCTTTTTGTTTCCTGCTTTCTCTTGGCAGATTAGAAGAGCACAAAGATGCTAGCCTATGAGGATGGTGTGGACTGGACGAGACTCCCCGACAGTATCTTGCTCCAGATCTTCACTTTCCTGGAGTATTCGGATATGCCGTTTGTTGGGCGTGTGTGCAAGTGAGTACTTTTTTTCTTTCTTTCTTTCTTTTATATAGATTGGTAGATAGATTTTTTTTTTTTTTTTCTATTTTCTCTTCTTTTCTTTTCTCTTGTTTCTTTTAGCTTGTAAAAACTACCTACTCTGGAGGAAATATGTAACGGTGATTGTGTTATATCTTGTTAAAGATAAGCAAGTAGTATATTTCTCTTCAAGTTATTTTATTGTGAATCTTTATTTAATGGCTTCTGTAATACAGTATATCAGTATAGATGATTTTGATGTTTGTATTTCCGTTTTGTTATTATCGGCGTGTGCTTGATCTTATTGTGTCGACCATTAACTCAAGGATAATATTTCCTTCTCATAGGTCCTGGCTGAGCTCGAGAATCGCTCTACTTCTTCTACAAAGACTTTCAGGTCGACCCTAGTGTGCCTATTATGCCAGGTATGATGCTGAGATTTACATGTTTTTATGTATGTTTGTTATTATTATTATTGTTATTGATTTTTTTTTTTTTTTTTTATGTGTGTGTGTGTGTGTGTGTGTGTGTGTGTGTGTGTGTGTGTGTGTGTGTGTGTGTGTGTGTGTGTGTGTGTGTGTGTGTGTGTGTGTGTGTGTGTGTGTGTGTGTGTGTGTGTGTGTGTGTGTGTGTGTGTGTGTGTGTGTGTGTGTGTGTGTGTGTGTGTAAGGACAGACAAATAGTCATAAAATGTATTATTATCAGACTGAAAACCGCTACCACCACCAATGTCTAAATTGAGGTGAAGCGAGTGAGTGTCATATGAATTATGTAAACATATAAGGGAATTCCTAGGAAGTTCGAAGATAAGAATACTTTTTTTTTCTATTTCATTATCATTATTTTTTTTATTGTTATTATTATTGATATTATTGTTACTGTTGTTATTGATGTTTTTGGTATTATTTGTTATTATTATTATTTGCTATTATTATCATTATTATTATTATTTTTTTTATTTATTATATTATTAGTAGTAGTAGTATTATTATGATTATTGTTCATGCTTATTGTTATTATTTTATTTATTGTTGTTTTTGTATTTGTTATTATTATTTTATTGTTATTGGTATTGTTGTATTGCTATTGCTATTGCTATTATTATTATTATTATTATTATTATTATTTTTAATATTAATATAATTTTATTACCTTTTTTTATTTTATTATCATCATCATTATTGTTATTATTATTATTGTTGTTGTTATTATTATTATTATTATTATTATTATTATTATTATTATTATTATTATTATTATTATTATCATCATCATCATCATTTTTATTAGTATTATTATTACTATTACTATTTGTATTGTTATTATTAATATTGTCTTTGTTATTTTTATTACTGTATTATCATTATGAAATTTTTCTGTTCAGACTTTTTAACTTTGATATAAATGCCTTTAGATTGAAGTCATTCATTACATCAAATAACATTCTATTGAACAATAAGGAAATATTTACGATTTCCTTGTTCTTCATCTTCTTCTTCTTCTTCATCATCATCTTCTTCATCTTCTTCTTTTCCTTCTTCATCTTCTTCTTTATCTTTTTCTTCTTCTTCTTCTTCATTTTTTTCTTTTCTTTCTTCATATTCTTCTTTATCTTCTCCATCCTCATCTTCGTCTTCTTCATTTTCTTCTTCATCTCCTTCTCCTTTTTCATATTTTTCTTATTATTATTTCTCGTCTCCTTCTTTTTACTATTCTTCTTCATCTTCTTCATTTTCATCTCCTTATTTTTCTTCACTTCTTCTTCCTCTTCTTATTTTTCTTCTTCTTCTTCTTCTTCTTCATCATCTTTATCTCCTTCTTCTTCATCTTCTTCTTCATCTCCTTCTTCTTCATCTTCTTCATTGCCTTTTTCTTCATCTTCATCTTCATCTCCTTCTTCATCATATCCTTCTTCTTCATATTCTTCTTCTTCATCTTCATCTCCTTCTTCTTCTTCCTTTACTCTCCTACCTAATCCGGCTACAAGACAGACAGGCTTTGACCGTGCCTTTGCTTATCTTTCTTATTATCTACCGTTGGTGGAATAATTTTCCTGAGTACTTTATTTATATATCTATTTGTATATTCGTGTACTTTTTATTTTTATTAGGAAAAACGTCATGGAGAGAAGAATACCAGAGGCTAATAGAAGGAACTCCCGTCGTTGAGACCGAGGAAATCCACGAACACAATCACCAAGTCCTCCACGTCTCCTTCTCACACAAGGGAGATATGTTTGCAACGTCGTCTAAAGATGGATACATCATTGTGAGTTGTCTCTTTCTCTCTCTTTGTCTCTCTCTCTCTTTTGTCTTTCTCTCTCTTTGTCTCTCTCTCTTTGTCTCTCTCTCTCTTTTTGTCTTTCTCTTTCTATTTGTCTCTCTCTCTCTCTTTTTTTCTTTCTCTTTCTATTTGTCTCTCTCTCTTTTTGTTTCTTTCTCTTTGTCTCTCTCTCTTTATGTCTGTCTTTCTCTCTCTTTTTGTCTCTCTCTTTGTCTCTCTCTCTCTTTTTGTCTCTCTCTTTTTGTCTCTCTCTCTCTTTTTGTCTCTCTCTCTTTTTGTCTCTCTCTCTCCCTTTTTGTCTCTCTCTCTCCCTTTTTGTCTCTCTCTCTCTCTTTTTGTCTCCCTCTCTCTTTTTGTCTCCCTCTCCTCTCTTCTCTTTTTATCTTTCTCTCTCTCTCTCTCTCTCTCTCTCTCTCTCTTTCTCTCTCTCTTTCTCTCTCTCTCTCTCTCTTCTCTCTCTCTTTCTCTCTCTTCTCTCTCCTTTCTCTCTCTCTCTCCTTCTCTCTCCCTCTCTCTCCTTCTCTCTCCTTCTCTCTCTCTCTCTCTTCTCTCTCCTTCTCTCTTCTCTTCTCTCTCTCTCCTTCTCTCTTCTCTCTCTCTCTCTCTCTCTTCTCTCTCTCTCTCTCTCTCTCTCTCTCTCTCTCTCTCTCTCTCTCTCTCCTCTCTCTCTCTCTCTCTCTCTCTCTCTCTCTCCTCTCTCTCTCTCTCCTTCTTCTCTCCTCTCTCCTCTCTCTCCTTCTCTCTCCTTCTCTCTCCTTCTCTCTCCTTCTCTCTCCTTCTCTCTCCTTCTCTCTCTCCTTCTCTCTCTCTCTCTCTTCTCTCTTCCTTCTCTCTTCTCTCTCCTTCTCTCTCTCTCTCTCTCTCTCTCTCTCTCTCTCTCTCTCTCTCTCTCTCTCTCTCTCTCTCTCTCTCTCTCTCTCTCTCTCTCTCTCTCTCTCTCTCTCTCTCTCTCTCTCTCTCTCTCCTTCTCTCTCCTCTCCTCCTCTCCTCTCTCCTCTCTCCTTCTCTCTCCTTCTCTCTCCTTCTCTCTCTCTTTTTGTCTCCCTCTCTCTCTTTTATCTCTCTCTCTTCTCTCTCTCTCTCTCTCTCTCTCTCTCTCTCTCTCTCTCTCTCTTCTCTCCTCTCTCTCTCTCTCCTTCTCTCCTTCTCTCTCCTCTCTCTCTCTCTTCTCTCTCTTCTCTCTGCTTCTCTCTCTTCTCTCTCTTCTCTCTCTTCTCTCTCTCTCTCTCTCTTCTCTCTGCTTCTCTCTCCTCTCTCTCTCTCTCTCTCTCTCTCTCTCTCTCTCTCTTCTCTCTCTCTCTCTCTCTCTCTCTCTCTCTCTCTCTCTCTCTCTCTCTCTCTCTCTCCTCTCTCTCTCTCTCTTCTCTCCTTCTCTTCTCTCCTTCTCTCCTTCTCTCCTTCTCTCCTTCTCTCTCCTTCTCTCTCCTTCTCTCCTCTCTCTCCTTCTCTCTCCTTCTCTCTCTTCTCTCTCCTCTCTCTTCTCTCCTCTCTTCTTCTCCTCCTTCTCTCTCTCTCCTTCTCTCTCCTTCTCTCTCCTTCTCTCTCCTTCTCTCTCCTTCTCTCTCCTTCTCTCTCTTCTCTCTCTTCTCTCTCCTTCTCTCTCCTCTTCTCTCTCTCTTTCTCTCTCCTCTCTCTCCTCCTTCTCTCTCCTTTCTCTCTCCTTCTCTCTCCTTCTCTCTCTCTCTCTCTCTCTCTCTCTCCTTCTCTCTCTCTTCTCTCTCTCTCTCTCTCTCTCTCTCTCTCTCTCTCTCTCTCTCTCTCTCTCTCTCTCTCTCTCTCTCTCTCTCTCTCTCTCTCTCTCTCTCTCTCTCTCTCTCTCTCTCTCTCTCTCTCTCTCTCTCTCTCTCTCTCTCTCTCTTTGTATTTCTTTCTCTTCTTTGTACATTATACTAGTTAGTCATTTTTCAAAGCATGTGGACTTGTACTGATAACCACATCTTACCTTCATTTCAGGTTTGGGGAAGCAGTTACCCAGCTGAAGTCAAATATTATAGAGACATGAAACTCCACTCATGGAAGTACACTCAATTCTCTCAGTTCAATAGTACAGACACTCTGCTTTTAGTGTCAGGAGTTCATTTTGGGAGTTGCAGCAGTACGTCGGGGGAAATCGCTGTCTTCAACTTGGAGAGTAAGGAGTGCGTTTGATGCCGTAGATGTAAATACAGTGATGATGGTGTGGGTGAAGAGATGGAATGATATTAAAGCTTCAGTGGTAAAAGAAACATCATGAGTTGTTTGAAAACCAAGTATCATCATGTGGTAGATTGCTGTGTATTTTTTTCTTTTTTCTTTGAGCTGGGTGTATGATAGTTGAACAGTTATTTGCAGTTCCTTTTTTTTAGAAATGAGATATGGTGAATTAGATATTTATGCTGGAGTATGTTGTAATAGGAACATTATTAAATTATAATGATGCTAAATATGGATAATTAATATATATATGTAGAGGTTTATTCTGACCAATGAAAATTGTACATTGGTAGTGAAGTATTTAATTACATTTGTTTATTTCTTTTTTCTATACAGGATTGTAAGGTGTAAGAGATTAATAAGGATGATGAGGCAGTGAAATTACATTTTTAGTAGTGAATTGAAAACTTTGAGACATTGTCATTTTAAGATTTATATATCTTGTATAGTTGTCACATGATTAGTATTTATAACTGATTTACTTCGACAGTAAAGAGACAGGATAGATACTTAAAACAATTGATAATTGAATGAATGTATTCTCAGTAAAAGTGATAGGCTGTTGTTTGCTTTGTTATCATAAGTGGCAGAGTTATGAAACCTCTCTTCTAATATGATGAACAAAGAGAAAGACACACAATGCCAGGAACCTACGAGAAGGTTTTCATCTGACTTCACCCAATGGCCCCGGGAAAAGGAGTTCACTGTAGTATTGTTTTGTGAAATGTCTCTACACATTAATGGCTCTGCAAGTGCTTAGCCACAGAGGAGTCAAATAGTATACCTTGTGACTTCACCTGATTTCACCTTTCCTTAAGTTTGCAGGAAAAACTCTTTTTTATTAATGCTGTTATTTTTATTATAGACATCTTAATTACATTAGTGTTATTGTCATTACTAACAGTAATATTAGATAAAAAAATTTTCAAAAAAACGATAAAAGGATAAACAGGTGACTTATGTGTAAAAAGCAATTACTAAGTTAAATACACAGGCATAGTATGTATGTATGTCCCATCCTCTGCAACATGGGGTTAACTCCCTAAAATCATATATATATAGTGTGTGTGTGTGTGTGTGTGTCTGTCTATCTGTCTGTCTCTCATGCCTGCAAGGGCCTGTGTGTATATAATAACTGAATTTATCTTTCTATATTTTTTCTGTTTATTTTTGTTCCTCACTTTTTACCATTTGACAGAGTTATTACATGATCTTATTGATTTGTTCCTATTTTCCAATTTCAGGAGACTTTCAGCTGCAATGCAGAGTACTTAATAAGCCATATGACATTTTCGGTACTTGGTATAACGACCAATATCTCCTGTCCGGGGAGCTGCATTGGCTGGCTCATCTGGTAAGTACATAAGCACAGACAGATTAGAAGTTTCGGTTGCTCATCTGTAATATGAATTTATGATTTAAATGCATATGTATAAATGTAAATACAACTGTATGGGTACAGAAGGTGACAGAAGGTTGTCATTTTTGTTTTTATTATTGTAGTTTGGTTATGATTTGTATTTTTAGAAGCTTTCGATTTCCTATTTTGCTATTATACAATAACTAATAGTTTTTCATTATGAATCCTATGAATATTTAGCATTTCTTCATTCCAGGTTAGTACAAGTGTTATTTGGTTGAATAAAGCCAAGCAAGAGAACAGTTCCGAACACCAAGCCATCATCAGTCGCCTGTACAAGTTCTACAATAGAAATGCCTCAAGCGTTCGCACAATTTTAGTGGCAAATTGCCTCATACCTGACACGCCCAAGGAATCTTCCGAAGCTCCCGAGAGAAGTGAAAACAAGCAGCAGAGAGTGCCAGAGGTATGTTTCTTCATATTTCAATCCGTTGATGACAGGAGGGCACAGATGTACTTGCCCAGTAACTTTGATTTGAGTTTATTCATTTTCTTTACTTGTAGCAGCCCGTTGTCACAAAGGAATCCATTAATAAGAATTACTCATCTCACCTTTTCACCCTTTTCCTTGGTTTTCCTCTCTTTTAATTATTATTATTATTATTATTATTATGATTATCATTATTATTATTATTATTATTATTATTATTATTATTATTATTATGATTGTTATTATTGTTATTATTATTAGGATTAGCTTTATTATCATTATTATGATTATGTTTAATTTTTTTATTATTATTAGTTTATTATCATTTTTTAATTATTGTTATTATTATTATTATTATTATTGTATTATTATTATTGCCATTAGTATTTTTGATGTACCATTGTAATAATCATAATGTGAATGATAATGACAAAAAACAGCAACAAAAATAATTAGATTAGAAAATAAGCAATTTTCCCAAAAATGATGGAATTAGTTAATCAGGTGAGGTCAGGTTACACTACTAATTGACTTCTTGGTGACTAATTGTTTGTGTAGCCACCTTTGTGCAATCAAAATTCGTAAAAGTATAGTTACAATGGACAGTGCATGTACCCAGCAACAGTGGGTTAGTTGTTTTTATTTTGTTTCTATGATCCTTCTGTTATGGCAAGAATTTCAAGTAATTGTCATAGTATCTGTTTCTAATTTTGCTCATGACCACTCATGGTTAATTGGAGTTTCCTCACGAGAGAAAAAGACACCAGAAAAGGGATAATTGTTTAGAGAACATTTCTTAGTTAATGGAAAAGGACTATATGACTGTTCGACTTATAAATCCATCTAGCAGACTCTTCAGAAGATAGTCTTGTTCATGTTAAGTTGTCTCTGGAGGACAATCCTGGATGGAGAAGGCCTAGGAGATTACCAAGACCTAAGGACAAGATACATATACATTTCATTTCACTTCCTGTTCAAGAACATTTTCTTCATGAAATCAGTCTTAGGCACATCTGTCATAAAACACCAATATAATTTGATTTTTGGATTTCCTCACCATACACTCATTCAGAAGTGGTTCTCTGACCTGAAAGATTTACCCCATTTATTTCCATGGGTGAAGTAGTTCCTCTGTGACAATGCATGGCCCCACAGATTGGTTCCTGGACAGATTTGGGTGGGAAATCTTTGCACTTCTCTCCAAAGCTGAAGCACTTTTTGGAAGAAAAAATGCTCTATGGTCAAGGACGCAACTTGTTACATTTCTAAATAAGCTGTTGTTTGATGTGTATGCTGTACATTAAATACCCAAATGACCAAGATAACTAATTAAAAAAAAAAAAAAAATGCAGTCTGTAAATCTTAAGAAAAACATATTCCTCATAACTTTGTAACTTTATCATTTTTTTGTCCTAAAATAGGTACTACTTCCCAAACTTTCTTCTTGCAGATGTCTCTCTAAATAAAAATATATATGGCTCTATACAGTTGCAGACACCAGATGCATTTTTGAGATGGACTAACACATTTCTGTATTCTCATGTATTGCAATCTTGTCCTTTGCATTTGCAGGTTATGGAGAGAGGCAACCCACCTTCTCATCGGGAGCTGAGCGTGCACCAGGTGTCCATAACGGAGGAGCAGAGCCACAGGCCTTCCAATTCACAGAGACCGGTCTATACGAGTCCTATCACTTACACCAAGGACTACAGAGAGTCTGAAACGGTGATTGTGAGTTTGTATTGCATAGTAACACCTTATGCTTTTCTTCTTCTTCTTCTTCTTCTTCTTCTTCTTCTTCTTCTTCTTCTTCATCAGGAACTTTGTCTATTACCATCTTCTGTTATTTTGTCTTGCTTTTCTTCTTTTTCTTTTTCCTCCTTTTCTTTTTTTCTTCTTCTTCTTTCTCTTCTTCCTCCTCATCAGAGTCAACTTCCTCTTATTTTCCTCTTCATCTTTTTTTCTTTTTTTCTCCTTCTTTCTCTACTTCCTCATCAGCTTCAACTTCCTCTTATTTTTTGCTTCATCTTTTCTTGCTTTTCTTCTTCATCTTGTCCTTCTTTCTTGTCATAGATTTGCTTGTTTTGCTAAGTTTATCCATGTAGGGTGTGTTGTTATTTGTTTCTATTTAACATGGCTAATTATGACAAAAATTACTTAAAGCAATTTTATTCTTAAAAGCATTTTGGAGAGGAAAATGCAAAATCCTCCTGTTATATTATATTCCTGGAATGAATTTTCACATTACTTTGGTATCAGTACTTTGGTAGTGCTTGTTATCTAAGTATTTGTACTTTTTTCATGTTGATATTTCAAGATATAAGAACAGTCATGCTGTCATACAGTGTGCAATGGTTCTGTGCATGAGAGAATTCTATTCCGGATGAATGATATTAAGAGTTATAGTCTTAAAATGTCTGAAATGCCATGACAAGACCATCAGCAAAGTAACTTTAGTTCATTTTTTTGTTTTCTTTCTTTCTTTTAATATAATTTTTTGTCTCCTTTTTGCTGAACATTTGATGCTTTTATTATTGAAAATGTGCATCTGGTTAAGAAAACGTATGAATAGGACATAATTATGTTTCAGTAATTGTTTAGTCTAATGGTGTCCAAGCATTCTGTCAACCTCTTCGACAGATTTACCCATCCGAATTTACCCCATCATCCAGTTTATCTGCCCTGTCCCAGTTTACCCTGAGAGCAAATTCACCCTTTCATCTGCCCTTTCCCAATTTACCCTCTCAGCCAGTTCATCTATTCCAGTGTACCCCTTCATTCAGTTTATCTATCCCAATTTACATCCATCAGATAGTTCGTCTCTCCTGTCCCAGTTCACCTTTTGCTAGATCACACATTTGATTTACCTGTTCAACTACCTCATCTCCCCTGTCCCAATTTACCGTATCAACAAGTTCACTTATCCCAGTTTAAATGTCCAGCCACTCTGTCAGGCTGTCCCAATTTACTCCTTTGTGTAATGTTGAAAAAAAAAGTTACCACCATGATAACATCCCTGCTACTACCCCCCCCCCCCAGGGCTGAATTTACCTCAGGTTGGTGAATGCTTTTCTAGTCTAAACTTGCAACAGTGCAAACCAGCTAACTGTTATATTAAAAGCTGTTACAAGGAAGTTAGTGCACAGGTAGAATAACTATGTATTTTTGAGGCATAACAATTAGCATTAATTCTGTGTGTTGCAGGGACAACACATAGCAAGCAGTAGCAGTAACCCATCAGTAGCCTTACAGCCGTCTAATTCAACAGAATCTCTAGGTCATGTGAGTGTCCCATTTATGGAAAAAAACAAGGGTACAGTGACAAAGTCATGTCAGTCTGTATAGTAAAAGTTGTCATGAGTGAATAGCAATGTGTCAACCACTGAGAGTGTACAAGAGATGGGAATACTTCATTAGACAACCAGATCAGACATTCAGATCAAGACATATTATCCATCTTTGCATGTTAAGAGGATTTTCACATATTCCTCAGATGTAAAGGTGAATTCCTTAAATTTAATTTGTGGTTGTAGAAAAACTGCTTGTGAAGATTCCCAGTCTATGTCTCACTCTTCTGATTTGGTCCCCCGCTCTTCCCCTTTTGGACCTTCCTTCTTTCCTACTTTCTTCTCTTCCAGCTCATTATATCTTTGATTTTCTCCCCTTTAACCATCCTTCTCAGTCCCTATTTACAGTTCTCCTCTGTTCATGTACGATATTTCATTTATTTCACAAACAAACTCTCTGTTTATACTGCACAGGAGGACATGGAAGTGGAGCGACCCAAAAATACTTCAAGCGAAGAGGATGGAATGCTCGAATGGGCAGAAGATGGGGAGTTCTCTCCACCAATGTCTTTAGCCGAGGACAGGGACAAATTTCTGATTTTCACCACAGGTTCTAAAACGTATTCGCCGCATCAGATAGGTATGTGCATTTAGGGGCCCCCAAATAGTGTCAGACATGAAAGAAAAAAATTCAAACTTAATGATGTAAGTAAATAAATGACTTGGTTAATGATTTTGCTAAAGCTTGATGGAGGATTATGTAATCCTTATATAAAAGAGACGTGCCTGTCTGTCTGTCTTTATCTGTATTTATAGAAGGAAGAGGGTGAGAAATTTAACTTTTATTATTTCTTTTTTCTTCCTTAGGTTTCAAGAGGATAAAAAAGTTTTCAATACCCACCATTTTGGACATTGGGCCTGGGCTACGGGAAAGGATACAAGCGCGGGAACTGGAGAGAGAACTTAGAAATTTAGGTTTTCCAGAGCCAAAATTTATAATTATACATATATATATATATATATATATATATATATATATATATATATATATATATATATATTATATATATATATAATATATATATATATATTATATATATATATATATATATATATATATATATATATATATATATATTATATATATATATATATATATATATATATATATATATATATTATATATATTATATATATATATATGTATATGTTATATATATATATATATATATATATATATATATATATATATATATTATATATATATATATATTATATATATAATATATATATATATATATATATTATATGTATGTATGTATGTATGTATGTATGTATATATATATTTTTATTATTATATTTTTTTTTTTTATTATTATTATTATCGCAATTAACATTTTCTCTACAGGCTAGACTACGAATCTGTAGCAGACAAATTTGACACCATTGATCACCTGATTGACCTGAATGGACACATCATTGGCATGGGCCTCTCGCCAGACCACAGGTAAGTCGTCCTGCTCCTCGTAGCTTTCATTTTTGATCAGTTTACGTGATGTCTTGATAGAGTTGAAGGTCAAGATTTATTGGAGTTTTCTTAGTTAAATAATGTTTTCTTCATTGCTTCATATGAGCCACTATTGTTTTTTATGTATCTTGATGTAGACTTCAAATAATTTCAGCAAGGGATTATTCTTCCTGAAAGGTGGTTAGGTTTCACATTTAATTGAGATATTAAGATCTAAGGGATTTTTTTCTTTCTTTCTTTCTTTCTTTCTTTCCCTTTCTCCTTCTTTTGCCATATTTCACTGGAAGTACCAGTGATTCTTGTAACTGTTCCTCAGATGTGTAGATAGCAATATAGATATCTTAACTCACTGATAGCAGAGAACCTGGATCCAAAGCAGCAGACAGCACATTAATTTTGTTTTCTTTCCCAGTTTTTTTATTTTGCATTACAGTTAAGGAAATTTCCTATGGTATATTAAATTTAGATTGCAGAAAAAAAAAAGTGTGATTTCTTCCAACCTTCTTTTTCTTCTTCTTCTTCTTCTTCTTCTTCTTCTTCTTGGCATACCCTCCAGTATTATTTTTTGGCACAGCAACCCTTTTGAATTATACAAAGACTCAGAATGAAATGCCTGCGACCCCTTGTGATACCACAGCCATAGTGTACATACTTCTAGTTTCATTGAGTGAAAGTAATATGACAAATGATATAGTAATTAATTTTTGGTAAAAAAACTAAACTACTAAATGATTTTCAAGGGGATATATAAAGTTAAGATTATGAACTCTTGCTCGCACAAACTCTTCAAAATGATATGGTCTGTTCACTTAATACCATCAAAATCCACAATGTAGAATCTTCACCCTCAGAGTACATGCCTGTCACAAGGGGTTTATTGGGTATAAAAAGCTGATGTGACTCTACCCTTAATAATGAGGTTAATTATACTGTCCAGGTCAAATCCTATTTCATGTACTGTACGTTGTGTTGGAATAGTGTAGTCCAGTCTAGTATTTTTGGAACTGAAAATCATTTATGTTTGTGTACTTTGTCTTTTTGTAAATGTGCAGATGTATAAGACATGACAGTCTTTGCTTTTAATTAGGAAAGGTTATTGGTGGAATATTTTTAACCCATTGGATCCAGTTGCATCACAGAAATCATGGTGCTAAAAATTCAGGCAGTGGGTTACATAAGTAGCCAACATCCCGGGGGTGTGGGGTATAGACGGGGCGGACATGAACACCCATGAGCGGTGGCAAGACTCTGTGCCTCCCCTTTGAAAAGTTATTTTATGTAAACTTTTTTTTTAGCTTTTTTGCTGTTTTCCAATGTCCATATTTTTCTTTTGATTTGGTTTATCCAGATGGTAATAGATTATTTTCCTTGCACAAGACTCTATCATCTCTCTATGTAGTAAATAACTCAGTGCAAGAAAAAAAATATGGAACATTTGGTTATTTGTCATATATCTTATTTTTCGTAATTTTAAATTTTCCGTAGTACAACCTGCGCCACTGGTCACAGCGACCAGGAATACGGTGCGCAGCATGGAAATGGCTTACACTCTGGAGCCAGCGCTCTCCCAGTCACAGCTTTCGCACATCACATTCTACATTCGTTTATCGATGGAAATAATGATAAAGCCCCCTTCTAAGCGCCAAATGAGTCAAATCACACTCCAAGAAGTCTGTACACTCTTGGCGAGTCTTTTCCGTCATTCTGGCCTTCTCTCATGACGGCAAGTTTGCGTCATCCGGCCTGTGGCCATTTTGCCCCGATGACAGCATGTTCACATTTGATAAGGGTCAGTATTGAAATATATTAGATCCAGGTCCAACATACTTTCTTACACCTTTGTTGATGTAGATTTACCAAGGGTTGATTCATCAGAACATCCTGGGAAACAGTTTTTAAAATTTACTGTTTTGCTTTATATAAAATTATTCAACTGCCTGGGAATCTTGATGCAACAAAAATGTTTTACAGATCATCAATATGAAATGAAAGGTGTTGCTTGTAATCATTGTGGATTTAGTCTTATCCTAGCTTAGATGAAAAGCCTGTGTGTGTATATATAGTAATAACTGTCAGTATACAAGAAGATCTCTGATTTAGAGACATTGATATGAAGGTGAAGTTTGACATTAAACTGCATTTACTTTTCATAGTTTTCATGGTAGAGAAGATAGCCTTGCATGTACCTTCTTTTGAAATTGTATTAACACTTGTATTATTAGGTGATAATTTCTGACAATACTTAGGGATGATAACTAGGTGAACATTTCCCGTAAACTAGATAATAGTGAGGTTGAAAACTTTTGCCTTGGCGAAGGAATATAGGGTCTATATATTGCTTTTTTTCTCCCTTTTTTCCTTCATTCTTTCTTTCTTTCTTTTTGCTGGAAATTAACATTGATTCTTTTCTGGTTACCCCTGTAAGAAATTACTGTTAACCCATTAGGGCTAGGATCCTTTGTACATAAATAACATGTTCTTTGTAATTTTAGTTTTTCAAATGCCTTTACACATAGATGGCTCCATAAGTGTCAATTATTAGTCCTACCTATTCTCACTTATTTACACTTTTCTTTGATTAAAAAAAAAAAAATCTAATTTTATTATAAATATTGTTGATAGCATTATGATTACAATAATGTTCAATGAGAAGAATAGTGGTATCAATAATAGCAGTAGAAAAAAAAAAATCTGGAAATTCACGGAAAAGGAAAATCAGGTGAGGTCACATAGGCCAACTGATTGACTCCATGGTGGCTGAGCACTTGAGGAGCCATATATATGTAAGCACAAATCACAAAACAAAACTGCCATGGACATTGTGCGTTCACAATGGCAGTGGGTTAACTTCCATTAAGAAACTTGTTCTTGTTTGATCATGATGGACACCTAGTGTGATAGACTATATCCAATGGTATTTCAGACTGAATAGAACTATGTGTGACAAAATTTATAAGTGAGTGGGAATTACTTCACAGGGCAAGATATGGGTCATACATTTCCTGCCTTGTGAAATTGTTCATGAGAAACATTCGTATTTCATTTCAAACTCCTGTGCACTGATGGATTCCAGTTGCAAAACAGTTTAGGGTGTCTCTCCCAGAAAACATATTATTTGTTCATGAATACACTTCCTTTTTTCAATCTATCATGAATCGCTTATATTTAACCTTTTAACAGTTGATGGGTAAATGTAAGGGTAGTTAGTAAGTTATTAATATAAGACCCTAATTTGCAGGTACTTGTATGTCAACAGTAGACCGTGGCAAGCAAACTGTGTGATTGAAAACCCCTTAAATCCTCCTCGAATTGCGGAAGGAATTGATTTGCATGTAATAGATCTCACCACATTAACAGAGGTAATTGTAATGTAGACTCTTCAGGTAGTTTCCTGAATTAAGGGTAAGATTGGATCATTGTAGTGAAAGGGTTAATTGGAGTATTTTATTTCCTTTAATAGTATGATCAGTAGTTGGTATTGGTGATTTTAATGTTGATGGAGTGTTTTGTTATTTGAAATTGTTTTTTGCTTTGTAATTCCTTATGTTCATTATCACTATTAACATAGTTGTTACATTTTTATTGTCATTTTGATGCAAATACAATTTTAGTTTACAGATTTCAGTTTGAAATTCAAGCAGAAACACTGATTAACTACAGATTATTTTCTGTATTTTTTTTTTATGAAATACCATTTATTCCCTGGGAAAATTAAATTATTTTATCAGATTACTTAACCTGTTAGATGTTATTTTCTGTGGTTAGGTAATAGACCTGTTCTCTGATGATTTTGATATACTTTAATTTTTAAAATCATATTGATAAGAAGTAGAAACAGTAGGTAATAGGAAAAAAACTGAATAAGTGTTGCTTCCTCTAGAACTAACATTATACTTTCATCATGGTAGCAGACCACATGGTAAAGATTGTCAGATTATGATAGAGTCAAACCGCATAGGGTCATATGTGTTCTTGAATTAGGAGAGTTGTGTTTAAAGAATATAAGCTAAATAGATAGGGAGGGTAGGGATGGCCAGAAATTATTCTTTGGTATCATTTAATAATTCTCATCAACAAGAGAATTGATGTTGTAAAGTATTTTTCATGGAGAAATTGTTATGAACAATTAAGTAAATTTGTGTATATATATTCTTTAGTGCTTTCTTCCATTTAGTAGTCTATGTTCCTGGTCAAGGTTTGTTTTTTTATTCTTCTTCTTCTTCTTTTTTCTTTTTTTAATCTCCTTGACAACAATGTCTCATCACCACAGACCTTGCCAGAGGACAGATTAAAGAAACAAAGGCATGATGGAGAGTAGGGCCATGAAGAGACCCACTAGTTGATAGGTAGGCAGTGGTCGAGGGCAATGGGTGAGCATTATATGTGTTCTCTTCATTGAAAGCAGCCACACAAGTAGTGAAAAAGTAATGGGAGAGCTTAGGAGGAGCCATTGTCAGGGTGAGGCAGAGGGGTCAAACAAGGCGTAAGTGCTATGTACCCCCGCCTATACACTTTTTTTCTACTAGTAGTAGGTAGCGGCAAGTACAAAAGGCTAAATACAATTATGAAAACTTCAAGTGAGGTTTTGCTTTGTAAAACTATCACTTTTTGTAGAAAATGTCAAATTATTAGAGATTATATACCGCATTATCAGTATCACTATAATCCATAATTTACCACACTAATAATATAAAGCAGAGTTTTTTCTGTACATCATGGAGTATACATAAAATCTTGCTCGTAATAAAGAGTGCACGTATACATATAGCGAGCACAAGAGCCGAAATTCACAGTGGGTTGAGAATGACCCAGAGGACAGAGAGCCTAGGGAGATGGAGTGTCTATTCTAATGTCAATAAGGCTTTTACCAAAATCTGGATTTGCTCTGTGGTTGAGACGGAGTTAATAGATAACATTAATTTACCAATTTGATTAATTGAATGATACCAAAGAATAAATTTTATGTATGAAAAAAAAAAAAAAAAATCTCAGCTCTGGCCATCACAAAAAAATATATATATATATATATATATATATATATATATATATATATATATATATATATATATATATATATATATATATATATATATGTATGAGGGATTTGCAGGTGATGTAAATATTACATTTCTTGCATTATCTTGTACTGTGAACATTTTTATCACTTCTACAAACAGGTTGGAACAATGCTGCGATCTCACAAAGCATACACTCCAAATGATGAGTGCTTCTTCATATTCCTAGATGTCTCTCATCTTTATGTGGCCAGGTAGGCATACAGTGGCATGGGTGAGTTTTTGTTACATTTTTCATTTTATAAGGTGTAATGATAAGAATGTAATGTCAGGATTGTTTAATTTTTATTCACAATTCTTGCATTGACTGCTTTACTTTTTTACTTTTTGCATCTCCTAATGTTTTTTTATATTACTTCCCAGTGGAGCAGAGGACAGACATGGCTATGTTTGGGAACGGCACTATGGAGTGTGCTTGTCACGCCTGCCTCACAAAGACGTTGTTAACGCTGTTGCCTTTAATCCGAGAGATCCAGAAATGCTTGTAACTGTTAGTGATGACAACAAGATCAAGGTTGGTGTAGGCGAAGGATATACACATGAAAGATTTTTTCCTTTTCTTTTTCTTTGTTTAAAAACTGAAAATTATGTTTTCATGATCACCTTGGAATTTCTGGGCATGCGTTTGTTGTTGTCGCTGTTACTGGCGGTGGTGATTATGGTAATGTTCTCAGAGTGAAGAAGTGTATAGCTGTATAAGTAACAAATGTCTTATAGTGAATTTGAATTTGTATAAGTAACAAATGTCTTATACAATAATTTGAAGCTGATGCTATATGTCTTGCGATTTACCTCCTTTTTGCATGCTCTTATTAAACTGTGTATAAGGCCTATTAAAAAAAAATTCTGGTTTCTCATCAGCACCCACTTTTGAAAATGGCCGCTGCATCTTTTTTTTCTTTCTTTCTTTTTTTCTTCTTTTTTTCTTCTCTTTCCTTTCTTTTTTTTCAAAAATGTGTGACAAAAATGCACCAAAAAAGCCTGCCATTTACAAAATGTCTTTGCATCCACTCAGGCAAAACGCACCATGCGTTACATGGCAAATCAAGTAAACAATTGACCTTACAAAATGTTTCACAAAGTGTTGCGTGGCAAACAGATAAAGAGTTGGAGTAGTTCACTTCGCCAAACAGCCCATCTATAAACAACTAAAATGGCTGTCACTTAGAGCCTTAAAAGTATATCTGTTCGAACTGCAACTCGTTTCAATTTACCTTTCTATCTATGTTAGTCACTAAAATGGATAATATGTACCTGTGGCACCAGTGGGTGTTGCCCTGAGGAGTCAGTAATGATGGAATCTGTTCTGTCCTCGAGCTGAAAAACTAGCAGAAAACTCCAATGCACTATGTATCCACCAATTATTACCTTTATTTTCATTAGAAATTACATTTTTGTACATGCAGAGTTGTCCATTTCATTGGCATTACCAATAAAAAAGTACTCTTATTTAGCCTCAATGCAACAAGAAGAAAAATAAGAAAATGAATTTTGAAAAAGTTCTGATAAGAAACCGGGTATTTTATTAATAGGCCGAATGGGAATAGCACTTGACAGGTGTGTAGGTATTGGCATATGAACAGGATACAAGGTAAGTGGATTGTCCTTCCAAAGCTGTAGTTGATAGAACAAGAATACACTTATAGATGAGGCTCTTGTTCATTGATCCACTCGGAAAAAAAAAGAAAAGAAAAGAGAAAAATATATAGGCACGTAAGATTTTCACCAGATGTCCCTGAATTTAGGAAATGTTGACAGGATAGCACTATTTAATAGTATACCATGGAATTACAAAGCCAGACAGCACACATATACAAAGCCCTTCTTGTATGTGTGTGATCTTGTTTATCAAGATTTTTATTTCACCTGTGGTATAAGAAATTAGATTATTTGTCATACAAATATCAGTTTTTGTTACCAGTACTTTTTTATGGTAACATTTAGATATGTGTAAAGGATAGAATAGAAATTTTGCAACTTGTACTGAAGTTGCAATGCCGTGCTTTTTGTTTCGTGACTTACCTCATCTCTGTAGTTTTTTATGCTAAGGTTTCTTTTTTTTGTACGCATAGCTTGTGTTTCACTGCTATATCCTACATGTTGTAGCTCTAAATATTGTTCTGATCAACATTTTTCACAGATGCAGATGTGCTGTGGTTCAGTTGATATGCAGTTCATCTTACTGTAGGAGTGGTCTCACTGACTTACTTTTTTGGACATGCTTGGGCTAGCCTTATGGGCCCCTTGTTGTGTGGCATCTCATTACCCCAACACCACTGATGCTAGTGTAAATATTTAGCAATTGAAATATATATATAATAATGGTTGAAGTGATTTAAGCATAGATTTCATTATACAGACTCTGCCTTGTTTCCAGAGCCACTTATGGCTGCCCAGCCTCCCATTTTGGAAGTTAATCCATGTTATTCCACAGCATATATGGTAACAAGCATATTATTATTACAAGCTAAGCTAAGTAGTGTGTAAGTAAGCTGTGTGAATTGTACAAAATGCCATTTTCACAGGCCTTGAGTTATCAAGTCTGAAATGTACTAGAGTAAAAGTATGAAGTCTAGAAATGTGTGGCTGGTTGGTAATAGTCTGTCCTTGATGTCAGTACCACATCAGGTGGAAACAACAAGTTCACAAATTACTGAGGTTGTCATAGACAACAAATCATTATTGTCTTTGGAGAAAATTGTAGGATCTGGACAAATAATGTTTGACATCTAGTGCTAGCTTCGTAGATAGGACACTGGCCTGGCCAGAAGGGCAGTAGACCCTGATTAGATTTTGGTCCTAGCATCAGACGAGGCTATTAGGACCCAGGCATTAAGGGCTCTGGGCTCTCTGGCGGCCACAGAGGCAGAGCAGATGCTTAGTTCAAAGTGAAATTGGGTGAACCATCATTTGATAAAAAGAAATTGTAAATTCAGTGAACATTTTGGCATAACAGAGTAGGATGGTATAAGAATGGGCCAAGTGATTTTTTGCCACCTGAAAGCTTTCACATTAACCTCTTGGGTTCAGTTGCTTCCCAGCAATCACATGGTCCCAAATATCAGGCATTAGACTTTCATGAACAACAGGGTGCATGCAAACACTCGTGTACAGTGACAAGACTCAGTGCCTCCCCTTTGCAGTGTTATTTTCTTATTTCATGCATAAGCATATACTTTTTTGCCCTTTTCCAATATCTATATTTGTCATTTGATATGCTTTATCTAGAGGGTAATAAACTGTTTTCCTTGCAGTCTCCATATCATCCCTCTAAGTAGTCCATAATGCAGTGCAAGACAAATAAAAATCTTATATATGTCCTTTTTTTATTCTTTGGAATATTCAATTTACTGTAATACAACCTGCACTGCCAGTCACAGAAATGGCCTCCTCCCTGGAGCTGGTGCTCTTCCAGTCATGGCTCATGGACTCTATTTTCCACACTCATTTATCGATGTGAATAATACAAAAGCCCCTTTGTAAACCCCAAATGAGTTTAATCACCCTTCAAGAGGTTTATGCGCTCATGGTGAGTCTTTTCCGTCAACCTTGCCTTCAGCCGAAAAACTCACGACAGCAATTCGCTTCACCTGCACCTCAAGCAAAAAAATTTCATGATATGAGGGTCACATCATGAAGATCGAAGGGAGTAACCCTTACGATCCGGATGACGTTATGGTCCCTTCGTGGAAAAATCTGGGTCAAGGGCTGGGTGACATAAAGTCATCATCAGACAATATGGCTGCATGCTGGGTGACGCAAACTTGCCGTCATGAGCGAAGGCCAGGGTGACAGAAAAAAACTTGCTACAAGTGTACAACCTCTTGGAGTGTGATTTGACTCATTTGGCACTTAAAAGGGGGCTTTAGTTTTACTCCCATTGGTGAATAAATATAACATGCATAAGCCATGACTGGATGAGCACCAGCTCCAGGGAGGAAGCCATTTCCATGCTCTGCACTGTATTCTTGGCCACTGTGACCAGAGGCACAGGTTGTATTATGGAAAATTGAAAATTACAAAAAAAAAAGATATATGGCACAAATAACCAAATGTTCATTTTTTTTCAATGGGTTATTTATTACATAGAGAGATGATATGGAATCTGTGCATGGAAAATAAGCTACTACCATATGGATAAAGCAAATCAAAAGACAAATATGGACATTGGAAAATGGCAAGAAAGCTAAATAAGTTTACACAAAATAACATTGCAAAGGGGAGGCACAGAGTCTTGTCACTGCTCATGGGTGTTTGTGCGCGCTGCATTCAGGATATGTTGGCTTCTTATGGAAGCCACTGTCTGTATTTTCAGCACCATGATTTCTATGAGACAAACGAATTCAACTGGTTTTTATATTGATTTATTCTGTTAAGGCAAAATAGAAAGGCAACTGTAACTAATATGTCATGTTACTAGAATGGCAATTTTTCGTACACTTACATATCACACACATATACCTGCATTTGTTTGTTTGTTTGTTTGTCTGTAGATGAGGTTATACATATGTTAGTGTATTGCAGATGTGGACCTTATATTATACGTGTCCTCACCTGCTACCAGTCACGCTAAAATGGATATGCACCATCAGGTTTGGAGGTCACGAAGGAGAGCAAGAGAATTGGGTGTTAACTTAGATGAAGTGCGGATGGCAAGGGAGCTTCGCATAAGTCACCCTAGACCTGATCAGCCACTACAACCTGCTGAGGCGCCCATAAGCCCGGAGAAAGTGAGCAGTCCGCACACTTACTTTGTAACGCAGTGAAGTGAGAGATACAGCCTTATTTATATATATAAGCTAATGATAAATTGAGATGTTGATAGTGTATATTGTCAAAACAAGTTCACATATTTGTGAAGCAGGTAATTTGCTTTTAAGTGCTGTGTTTCAGTAGCAGGGGAGGCTGTAATGAATTAATTTCCTCGAAACCATTTCAGCTATACAGTAATTCCTAACCATGTCTGGTTTGGAAGAACAGATGTTTTCTACCCGCATTGTGGCATGCTTCGTAGAAGGAGATTCGGTCCTGGCCAGCATTGCATCATAGTTGACCTGTTTCTGTCTAGACTTACGTAATAGGTGAACCATATCTGACTGCCTGTAGGATTTAGACGCTTGGCTGATCTCCTTGAAAGATAACTACCCTTGCTAGGAAAGACCTTCAAACAGAAATATATATATATAGTTATACAAGAATTTAAAGCTTTATATATAAATAGGTTGATGTATTTAAAATTTAAAAAGCAAAAAGAATTGGCTTTTACGGCAGATCCTTAGTGAATTTATGTTTTTGTTATAAAGTGAATAGTATGTTTTTGTGATATAAATATACTCTGTTATGTTACTGCAATGATGAGTTTTTTATGTAAATAAGCTTGTTATCAATTTCTTATTCTCTTTTTAATCATTCAAGTATATTCAGAGTGAATGTAAATTTTGTATTAATTATTAGGTGTGCTGTGATATTCTATTCAACTCTTATGGCTATGCAGTCTGAAATTTTGATATCCATTTCATATGGCTGTAAACAGTAAGAGCACATTGTAAATAATTTCATATTTTTTTAATGTTATTATTGGCAGTCCAGCTACCATGGGAAGACACCGTGACACTACTCAGCAAACCATGTCGATGAAGTCAAACAAATTAAGAAAATAAATGGTCTTCTTCCGTCTTTTCTTTAATACTTTCTAATCCTATCCAGCATGAAAAAGCAAAGAAATAAAAGAATATATGTAGGGTGAACTTTTTTCTTTTTTTTTTCTGACTGGGAAAAATTGAGACATTATTGATACATGTAAATGAAAACAATCTCACGTTTTTAGTGTAAACCAAAGGAGACTATCCTTAAAGACCCATGAATCTGTTTTTAAAGTTTTATGCATTTTATTTTTGTGTAAGGTAATGTAATTATGCATCGAGTTTACAAGAAACTGATGCAAGTTTTGTGCAAATACGGTACATATTTTTCTTTCTGGTTTGAGGTGTGTAAATCCAAGATCTTTGTTTCCGTTACTGGAAATACATTTCACAATATTAAAATACACTCCTTTTGTGCAAATTTTTTTTAGTCTAGAAATATTACATATTGTAGGTTTAATGGTATTTAGTAATTCACAGTTAAGCAGTAAGCAGCAGAAAATAGCCAATAGTGATTCATTATCTGGTAAGCATTCTGATAATTTAGTATTTTACACACACACACACACACACACATCATACATATACATATAATACATATTCATTTATCTACCTAGACTGGGATTAATCAGTAACTTCTTTTAAATGCAAGACCTGAAATTGCTGGTGCACAATTGTGTGGTCTGTGTTTCCCAAGCAGCAGCTCTTGGAGATAAGGAGGGGGCAACAAATGTAATATTTTCAGCACATTCTACGGGTAAATGTTTTTCAAATATCTTCTCTTTTTCTTTTTTTTCTCTACATTTTCAATTCTCCCTCTTGCAGAGTTTGGCATTTTTTTTTTTTTTTTTATCAATTGACAATCAGAGGAGCCATATTCCCCTGTTGCTTTCAAGAAATTGTATCTTTTAGACACTGACATGTTGACAAAAGTTATGGTAAATGAGTAAGAAATATATGGTGTCTCATTTTCCAGGGTGTTCAAAAGTTGCTGGCACCCGTGAAAATTTACACTTCACCTCACGCCTTTGGCGCTTGGCTGCCAGGCATTACCCGGGTAGCCACCTACTTGGACCTAGGTAGCCTGCACTACTTTGAAAACTTTGAAACACCCTGATTATCTAGCGATTGTTCTTGTGAAATTTATGAATCCTCTGGATCTTTAATACCAAGGATGTTAGCTTAGAATTTGTGGCATGATACCTACTTCAGCATAAATTTGTCACAATAATAGTGATGGAAACAGTGAGAGTAAAGATAATGACCAGGCTAGTTCTTTTATTTTGTGTTTACTTTTAATATTTGCTTATTTTTGCTTATTTTTAATATTTTTTCTTTGCAATATTTTCATTTTTTATCAATAGCATTTTTTCTGCCATTTTTTCTGAGTTCTTTCACACTTATTATATTTATTTTTTTTTTTTTATTATACTTCTCACATGTTTTTCTAATATATTCTCTTTCCTTTTTTTTCCTCTCTACATTTTCATTCCTTTCTTCTCTTTCTCTGCTTTATCCCATTATTCTGTCTTCTCTCTTACTCTGTTTACTGTATTTGGATTAAGCACATCCCGCCAGGTGGCATGTATATACATGCCATGGCTGTTGTGGACAAAGTAGTGGGTGGCATCAAATGACCCTTCCCATGCCGTCAGTTTATCAGATGGAGCTTGTTTTTCTCCGATAGTAGCAGCATCATTTCTTTGATAAAACTTTTAGGCAAAAGGACCTAAGTGAAAGTAAACCTTTAGAAATCATATTTTTTAAAAATTGTATTAAAATACAAGCTATTAGGTGCCTAATGTTCCTCACGAACTACCAAATGAGCCGGGGCACAGACAGGGGAAGCTATCTATGTGCACCAATAGTCCCGAGATCACGTCCACTAGCCACATTTTTTACCTGGCGTTTTTTTTTTGAGTTAATGGGCTAAGGTTATGTATTTTGTAATGCATTTTAAAGATAGTTTTGCCATATTTCATTAATACTTACAGGATTTATAGATTTCTTTATATTAGATATATTAAAGAACCTTGAAGGATTCTCTTTTTCCAATAACACAAATTTCAATTTATAGATTTTATTAATAGAGCTCACCTGAAAAAATTTCCGTTCTTTGCTGTAAACTTCAAGAAAGAAAAAAGATTTTTCTTTTCTTTTCTTTTCTTTGGTATAAGGGAAGGTAAACAATGACAACTTACAGCAATGCAACTCAATTTAATTCATCATAAGATTTTGATCTTCTGCTGTTGATTACAGGAAAGTTCTGAATGTGATAAATAATACAGGTAAACTGGGGGAGGGGGGGGGAGGGAGAAGTACATGGAAAGATTTCAAAACTACTTATTGCAAACTAGACAATTACATCTAGCATTTCTTCCAGCTTTCAATAAAGATTGAAAGAAAAAGAAAACAAAAAGGTCATTAAAAATGTGTTCATCATTACTATAAAGTAAATATATAATGTATACTGAAGCTTATATTCTACAGTATTGTGTTCAAGATTAAAAATCAAATAAATTATAAATGTAATCATAATAAACTAGCATCTAAGGCAACTAATATAACTTTCACTTCCAAAGAACACAAAATCAGTTTAAGCAAGCACAGATGGCCATGAAACGCGCACACATACAATGGAAGGCAATCTAGTAAAAGTGGTAGTTGATATGCATGTGATGTATCCTAGTTGATACCAGTTAAATAATAAAAGTTACTAAGCTACTAGGGAATGCAGTTTACATAAGCAACGGTGTGTGTATATACAGAAGCATCTTGATCATCTAGGAATTAACTGATTGGGGAGGTAAAAAAGTTGTCCTCTTATTGTCTGAGAAATTAATTTCTCTTGGGCGATTATGACAGCTTGAAAAATGTGAATAATAAAACAGAAAAGCCAAGATCAAAGTCACAATACATTATAATAATTTGCATTTTTTTATTGTTATCACCACCAAAATGATAAAATCATTTTTAGTAGGTACTCTACATTTTCCAGGTACTAATTTTGTTATGAACATAGTTTAAACTAATATTCAATAACACGGTTAACTATTATGACACAGTATACACAACCATTCCATGCCTTGTGTTGTATTTTCCTTTATTTTCTAAGCAGAGCAAGCCGTATTGTATGAACATTATTTTGCCCGAGTCCAACCTAGATAATCAAAACACCTCTTGAGACAAAAAGGAAAAAAAAAGTAAGCATGAATACTGTTCAAGATGTGGAGGAATCACAAAGGCTTAAATTTCAAGACAAAAATCAAGCTACAACTGAATGCCAAGAGATATATTCAAGGTATAAATTGTGCATATAAAACTGACTACAGGTTTTTTCTAAATGTTTCGTACTACCATATCAATTTTTCATCAGATATTACCTTAAAACTCTCCTCAAGGAAAGATGCTCATGCAAATCCCAGTTTCACATTGTGGGTGATGAATGCTTGTCCATTTTATTAGGCAAATAAACAGCAAGTGGATTTGGTGTCCCTTAATCAGACACTAACCCTTCAGCATTTTCATTCCAAACAGATTATTTTTCACTCTTTCTCTTCCCTCTGTCACAGCTACATTCTAAACCAGCTTCACAGCAGTATCACAACTGGAATCAACATTTTACGGTGTGTGAGCCTTCTTTCCCCCGCATCAGTTGTGCTTTCCTTTTATTTCTGTTTTAAAGTAGATAAGTTCACAGTTAGGAAACTGTATGATTTACCTTTATTTTCTTTCAATTTTCTTTTTATCATAAGGAAAAAAAAAAAAAGATTGAACTTTTAATTTTGATATATGCTTTTACATACTAAGGAAAGAGCTGATATGTACATAAACTCTGCAATAAAAGTGTAAGGGCAAAGGAGAACTATTCCTTCCAGTATTTATTGAAGCCTTTTGTTTGAGAAATAAAATTATCAGCGAGGTATAGTTTTGCATCTAAAGAATTAATATGTTTCACTTGGAACTGCTGTCCTTACATCCACATATGGCAGTATCTTGAGAAAGAAGGCAAAAAGATATCTAAAATGATCACCAACAGAAATAATTTAAACGGTAATGTAATGATACATCAGACAATCCAAGACAGCAAACAACTACAATGGGGATTCAACGCTAACATGGAAACATGAATCACATAATATACAACGAATGCATCTTTGGAATATCTTTTCTACCGCTGCTCCCTGGAATATGTACAGTGCCACAAGACAGCCATCCAGTAACATTTTATGTTTCGTGAAATCTTCCTATCAAAAATATCCTTTGCTATATCGCCATCTTCTTATCTCCACATACTAAAAACAAGTCCTATAATACTGCAACTGACAGCATTATTTTGACAATCAGATAAGGAAATCTCTGCCTTTTTATACCTATACATATGTCCATTTACACATTCTCTCCACACAAATTTAAACAGTATAGCATATTTTCTGATCCACAGGCCATACACTTTTACATTTTAATCTGTATTTCCTTGCCTTTTTTTATTTTGTTCTCCTTTTTTTTGGCATAGGACCACAAGCACCAAAAATCAGCATGATAATAACGTACACCAAAGAGTGATAATACAGGATCCACACACTAGTCATAAACAATCCTTTAAAATCCGAGGGAAGACAAGTCAACAAATAAGCTTTTGCATAGAATCTGTCCTTTGGCCAAGATTCAGCTGAAGGAACAAATTAAATGTATATTATGGATGAATAGTGGATTTGGTGCTTAAGAGAAGGAAACACATTTAAAACTGCAAGTTGTTTAAATAATGCAGGAATACTCTTTCTTTCCACATCAAGGAGTAGAGTACTCCACATACTCGATGCCCCCAGAAAACACTCTCAGGGTTTCCTATGTGCACTTTTCACTTCTCAGCCGATCCTGCAATGTGAAACAATTATGCCTCAAAGGTTAATCATAGCACTATTATAGCAGTCACAATGTTCTGATACAATACAATATTATAACTGGGAAAGCATATACTCTTAAAGTGTGCTGTATAAATCAGCATATAGTAAAAAAGAAAAATAAAGATCTTTTTATCTTAAACTCTAAAAGAAAATATTTTCAAGTTTCAAAGGTCTTAATATTGCAGAGATGTTAAAAACTCAAAAGTATTAATTCCAAACATTACTCTCAAAAGGACCAACCAAAAGTGGACAAGGTTACTACTCCACTAGACTTACCTTTTTGGAAAAAAAATTAACGTATACAAAACCATTTATAATATGTGGGTGTGAAAAGGTGTGGAATGATTTCTGTAAATGTCTGGACCTTATCATGTCCTACACTCTAATGATGATAAATTATGCATTTTTGGTTTAATTAAAAGAGGAAACAAGACTATCTATGTATATGTCAGTAGCATGTTGCTGGTTGTTTGGAATTTGTTGTTTGAAAAATATTTCTGATCAAATTTCTGTGGTTTGGGCAGCAAGTGAGAGCCAGTATACCCCTTTCATACATCTTTTATGAACATAAGTATTTTTTAAACCATTCCTCAAATCCATCTTTATTCACAAATGAACTGTGTCACAATATCACACTAAAACTAGGAGAAAAGGAAAGTGGGTGCGGTGACGGGAAAATGAAAAAGAAAGACAAGGGGAGAGGGGAGCAGGAGGAAGAAAAGGGTGGAAGGAGAGACATGGAGACGGAGGTAGGAATGGATGGAAGAGGGAGAGGATATAAATAAATTGAGATAAAAACACTACTCTGTGAATTGGTACACATGAAAGTTTGAGAAATGGTAACTATGTCCATGAAAGACTGTAATAGGTGTGGAAAGGAGCTAGGGAGTAAGGGAATGAGAAGGCAAGAGACAGATCAAGATTACAAGAGTGCATGTATACAAGGTCCTTCTCTTATCCTTACATATCTTTTTTCCCAAATGTCATCCAGCTCACATACCATTATTTGACTGAGTCTCACCGCCCGGCTGGTGACTGTTCTTCTTCTCCACATGGCCTGAACAGTGCTCACACTCATCGTCTGTGTCAGAACTGCTCACGTCAAATTCGTGGGGCTTCACATAAACACAGCAACCTGCATGGCACGTACAAGGGTTACGGAATATTCTACACACACTATGGGGTTGATGATATAAAAGAATGTCAACTTGCTTCCAACTATTCTTATTTCATACAAGGGCTACCTTTCTTTTCTTTTTTTTCATGCAGGGGCTATTTCAAAAACTTAAAAGCTCATATTCATAGGGAACTGCAATGTCAGCTATATATCAATCAGTTCACCTGTAAAGTAAAACTTAAAAGTTGCTAGGAAGAACAGAAAATGTTAATGTAAAGATGTTAATATAATTCAAAATAATTACACAAAAATGGCTAATATAAAATGGATAACAAATAAAAGATGATGGCAACTGATACCAATAACAAATTAATGCATGCTATTGGTCTTGCAAAAGAAATAAATGGAATTTGACAGAAAATAAAAAATTATATATATATATATATATATATTATATATATATATATATATATATATATATATATATATACAATGAAACACCAAAAACCTTTCACATTCATCCTCATGAGTAGCTATTACATAACAACAGTGGAATGCTAAAAGACAAATCTGATGGCAGAAACCACCATATATGAGAGATATCTACAGAGTAATTAATTTAGAGTATAAAATTTCTCTTCCTTGCATCAGGGAGTGCCTATGCGACAATTCCACAACACAATCCTACATTTCAGAGGTTACCTAGAAATATAAAATTTGGACTTCCCATCTAAACCCTTTTTATAAAGCCATTTATTTTTTTCTATGACTTTAGAAATAGGTGTTTCTTGACAGAAGAGGTTTCTTGAGGTTTTCCAAATATCAACAAAACTAAGCAACTGAACTGTATCATTGGACATCAGACAGACGTCAAACTGAAGTAGGAACAAAATATGCAACAGATCTTGTAACTGGTAACACGCGTTTTTTCCCTCTCTTTCTTCAATTGGAACACAGAAATAATGCAAAGCACTTCAAAAGGATATCTGTAATCTGAGCTGAGAAAATCAGGTTTTTAAAACAAAGTGATGCCACCATTGGTAACAACTCTCAAAAAGTTATTTTCGTTATAATGCAGATAATAAGGATTTTTATTATACATATGCCATTTCGCAGAGGACTGATCATAACAACAATGAAATTTAATCCTATGAAAAATACTACAAAAAAGGTCACCGGAATTTACATTTACATGAGAAAAGAAGAGAAAAAGATAGAACAGAAATAACAGACATGAAAAAAATAGAAGAGGAAAGTGAGGCAGAAGAAAGGAAGAAAAAAAGACTAGAATGAACAAGAAAAATAATGGGAAACGAGAAGAAAAAAGAAGAAAAAAAAGAAAAATGATAAACAACATAATACAAAGGTGGAGTGATTTTTAAAAAATGAAAATAAGCAAATACATGGAGGAAAAAATATATAGAAAGTTGGGAGAAAAAAGAAAGGATACAAAAAAAAAAGATAAATATTAAAGGAAAAGCTGGAGAAAAAGACAACTAGAAAAGAAAGAGAAAAAAGAAAGCCAATCAGTAAAGAGAGAGATGAAAAGTGTAATACTGAATTCTGGCAAGTGAACTTCTAGGAACGCACTAGTTCTATGCATTAGAGTCAACTTTTTTTTTCTCTATCTCCGTCAAATCCAGTTTTTCCCATAAATTTCTTATGCAAGTTAACCGACAGCTTTTGACGAGTCTCGATGCCGCACTCAGACCCACATCCTGCCTCTAAAATAATAATGCTAATAAAAGACCTTCCT